GTGCCTGTGGTAACCGTGGGAATGTGTGCAACTGTTGCAGCAAAAACATGAGGCATTACACCCGTCACAGCAGTGACACCCGTGGTGATGCCAGTGACGCCAGTGCTGACATCAGCAATGCCGGTGATGACATCAGCGACGCCGGTGCTGACATCAGCGACGCGGGTGCTGACATCAGTGACATCAGTGTTAGGAGTCACTACACCAGGAGCACATGCTCTCCACTGACCGACAAGCTTCTCAGTGCACAGAAGAGTTGGCGGCATGCACTGTTGCTGCTGCTGCTGCTGCTGCTGCTGCTGCTGCTGCTGCTTCTGATATCGCTGTTGCCGCTGCTGTTCCTGCTGATGACGATGCAGTTGGTGCTGCTGGTGCCTCTGTTGTCGTTGCCACTGCTCCTGTTGCTGTTGCTGCTGCTGCACCTGCCGCACCTGCCGCACCTGCTGCACCTGAGGGCCGCCCTGCTGTTCCAGAGCAGCCACGTCGGCGACTGCGCTCGGGCTCGGACACACGCCGAACTCAAGCTGTTGTGTCTGCTGCTCTAACACTCCTTCCCACTGACCCAAAGCAGTCACGTAATCGACTGCGTTGGGCCCACCTGGGGTCTGAGGCGGCTCAAAAGACGGTTTTTTAGGCGCCTCAAAAAAGAGTGCGTTGGGCCCACGTGGGGTCTGAGACGGCTCAAAAGTCGGCGGCCTTGCCTCTTGAATCTGCCCTATCTGCCTCGGCTGCAGTCTCTGCTGCCCCGGAGCAACCACGTCAGGGAATGCACTCGGGCTTCGCCACACGCCGAACCTAAGCTGTTGTGTCTGCTGCACTAACACTCCTTCCCGATGACCCAAAGCAGTCACGGATTCGACTGTGTTGAACCCACGTGGGGTCCGAGACGGCTCAAAAGCCAGCTGTCTCGCTTCTTGAATCTGCCTTATCTGCCTTGGCTGCAGTCTCTGCTGCCCCTGAGCAATCTTGCTTGGGAATGTTGATCCGCCAGCAGCCGGGAATGGCACCGGACTAGCACGTGCGCCTTGTGCATTGTTGCTACAAGCAACACCACCAGCAACAGAACCTGCCGCAGCACCAGCAGCAGCTGCAGCGGCAGCAGCAGTTGCATGGTTACCAGAGCGAGAGCTTGGAGTAGGCAGCACGGAATTCCAGCCAGGTGCTTTCAGTGATGCCAGAGTTGGGTACATGGTTCCGGATACTGGTGCTGACGATGTTAATGACACTGCTTCTGCTGCTGCTGTTGCTGGCGATGTCACTGATGCTGCTGCTGATGCTGCTGCTGCTGCTGCTGCTGCTGCCGCTGGTGGTGGTGCTACTATTGCAACCGATGGTGATGCTGCTGCTGCAGGGTCAGCAACGGGTGCATGGAAAGGGAGTGGTTGGAAGCTGCTGGTTCGAAAAAGTGACGGAGGAGCAACGCTGCGGGTGCAAGCCGCTGGTACTATTAGGGGGCCTGAATGTGACATAAGGGGTGTGGCAGGACGGCAGGTTGTAGCAAGAGGCCAGGTTGTAGAACGAGGGCAGGGGAGATTTGCAGGAGGAGGGAAGGTTGAAGCAGAAGAGAAGGTTTTAGCAGGACGGAAGGTTGTTGAAATCGGGCAGGTTGTAGCAGGAGGGGACGTTGCTGCAGAAGGGAAGGCCGCCATTGGAGGAAAATTTGCAGGAAAGACGACATTAACAGGGGGTAAGTTTTTAGCAGGAGGGCAGGTTGTAGCAAGAGGGGAGTTTGTAGCAGGAGTCAAGCTTCTAAGAGGTGGGAAAGTTGTGCCTTGGGAAACACTTGTAGCGGGAGGGAAATCTGTAGCATGAGGGACGGTTGTGGCAGGAGGCGAGGTTGTAGCAACCGTGACAGTAAGGTGAGTGCGAGGCACGCAATGGCATGCGGGGGGGTGGTTATGCGAGCCGGAATATGTCGTCCGCACCACCACTCGCATCTCTGTTCTGCCACGCCCTGTAATGTCACTTCCTGGAGCCAAGTGGTGGTTTGTGGAGGCGGATAACATTGCCTTGGAGACGGCGCCTTGAGGCTTGTAGCGGCGCGGCCGGGCCTCCCCGGCCACCCTGTCCTCGGTTTTTTTCGCCGGGCAGCCCGTGAGTTGCTTGGATGCGCACACAAAGTAAATCCTGTGGCAGATATGGACAGGAAATTGTCGGGAATCAGGTACTTATGGATCAGCAAAAACGGTTGGCACTATAACGTCGCAATAGAGACTCATCCAAGCACCTTGTATAGAAGGCGGAGGAAGAAGAGGGGTGTTGGGACTGCCATGCCAGTTGTCCCAGTCAAGGTAATCATAGCAGTAGTCAAGGTATTTCAGCATTGTTACCAGCAGTAGTAGTCAAGGCACCCGTCTCACCAGCCGTACCTCTTCACTTGCTGGCCAACGATCCGTTTGTGCGATGCCTTGCGCCATCGAAACCCCTCACAGCCTTGGCAATCGTTGAGGCACAATGCATGGGAATCCACGTACTGCTGCTGTTGGTACTCGTGCTGCTGCTGCTGCTGCTGCTGCCGCTGCCCTTGATGCTGCTGTTGCTGCTGTTGCTGCTGCTGCTGCTGCTGCTGCAGTTGGTGCTCGTGCTGCTCCTGGTGACCCTGCAGATCACGATGATATGGTGATGCATGTGATCCATCACAACCGTTCATCGTGCTATTGCCGTGGCAGAAGGCAGCAGGTAACAGGCGGCAGGCAGCAGGCTGTCACGCCGGATGTTGCTGGACGTCACAGGAGGTCGCTGAATGTAGCTGGTTGTCGCAGGGTGTCGCTTACTGTCATACGATGTCAATGGTGTCAAAGGATATCCCTGGATGTCACAGGATGTCACAAAAGGTTCTGGATCATCTCTCTATTCAACTTGATGTCACAGGAGTGCATTGAATGTCACGGGATGATTTTCGCGGATTAGGTGAGATGGCGTCACAGGGCGTGGCTGAGGAGTCGACACCCATCATGATGTGGTTGCTGTCCGAAGCCGCTGCGTGAAAATGGTCGTACCGCGATCGTTTGCAGTGTAGGAAATGTGGACCAGCTTTGGAAGCGGAAAGACGACTAAGGCGGAGGAATCTGACATACGAGGGCATCATGAGTCAAAGCCGCGTTTGTCCTGGCATCGAGAGCATCACTCGGAAGGGTTCTATAAATGTGTTCCTCCTGATGATTCTAGTGGTGCTCGAATCACTGAATTTACGAGCACGTCTGATCACGGATGAGGCGAGAGTTGACCATCAACTTGAATAATCGAGCTGATCACTTTGTTGAGAGAGTAAATCGTTAAGGTGACTGAGATACTAACGATGACTCCTAGTAGTACAATCAATCTGGGACCATCAATCTGACCGCGTCTTGCTGATGTCTACATCGGATGACTACATGAGGCACCATTCTGGGTTGCAATGTCACCCACAAGGTCCTAGAACGTGCCATTTGTACCGCCCGATGCAGGCCATTCGAACGTGCGTTGACATGTCAACTGACATGGGTGATGCACGGGTCGGCGTAGGGGAGGACTATTCGGAGAACATGCTGCGCTGGGACTGGGGGGACTAATCGAAATCTTCCAGAGAGTCTGACCTAATCTTGGCGGGGAACATCGGCCGCGGGGTGCGAGCGTGCGCTTGGAAAGCAAGCCGGGAAGGCACAGTGCAGTGCCAGCAAGCATCTGCCGAGGAAGCGTGCATCTGCAGGGCGAAGCGCAAGCACTGCTTGGCATGCGCATGTGCGAATGCGAAGGTGACACAGCGGAACCATGATGATCCACAAAGTGAGGCCTGGATTGGAAGCAACTTGAAGTTGCTCGCCCTGACAGGACAGGCAAGGCAACTTGTCCCGATTGGTCGGACAAATCCACCGCATTCTCATGTTAGGACTGGTCCTACTAAAGAGGTAACGGAAGATGCGCTGGAAAGGGGAACAGTGTCGGAGTAATGACTACACTGTAGTGGCAGTAGCAACTCGTGCTGAATGCAAGTGTGCCATCAACACCTGCGGGACAGTGGCCCAGGCAGGGTGTTGTAGGGACCTGTCGATCATGTACGCCTTGCTTACTGGGACGCGTCACCTACAGCTCGTTTCGGTAACTGATCATGCAATGTAGATCGGCCACCGCACTGAAATCACACGAATTTCATCCACAACTCTCAGAAACGTCTCTAACCCCGCCAAAGTACGAACCTGCGCAGGTTCGATTGCACGATCGGTGACCGTCCTCACCTCACAGATGGAATCTCAGAATCTAGAGAGAGAAGAGGGGTGCTTTAGGACTAACTGGAACGCGGCGCGGGCCGTGACTTCTAGGTTAGCGAATCAGATGAAGGTGGTTTCTCGTTGGTCCCTCTGATTTCGGCGATATCCGTCAACATCTAACGGGTATAATCAATGAACCGAGTAGTAAACTTATCAAAACGTACGAGAAGTTGACAGAACCATTTTGCACCTTGACGGATGTCACTTACATATCAGCACGATCACACAAGGTACTCTGGTCGGTTTGGAAACGGACCACTATAGTAGCTCGCGCAAGTGTGCATTTAGAATCATCATCACCACATAGGTTCTAAGAAAATGATGAATCAGAGTTCTTCACAGGCTCAAAACCAGCCTTATACACAAAACGTGGTTTGGCAAAAGCGGCAAATTGCAATCAACATTGAGGGTTGGCAACGTGCAAAGAACCGTCAAGACCTGATGTACACTGTTGTGCGATGAGACCAGATGCGATGTAAATAAAGTTCCAGTTCCTTGCAATCATTCCCAAACCTTTCCTTCCAGGTTGCTATTTTATATTGCCACTATTCGATAACCTCTCCTAGACAATCAGACAAAATACTATCAATATCGTCACAACCTTGCACAACCAGTGTGCAAATCGCTTCTGGGTTGTTAAAATTCTGCGCAGTGACTTGGCACATCATGCTGATGTCTTGTTGAGCCAAATACAGCTCATCCAACGACACATCAGCAACAGAAGCTTCCAATCTGTCAGCCACATCAGCCTCATCATGCGGTGATGATCCCGCCACAGAGCAACCCAAACTGCTCATGCTGCCACCACTGCTGGTAGTGCTGTTACGTCGACCAACTCGATCATACCGCAAAACGTTGGCAAAGTCGTTACAAGTAGCAGCCAAGGTACCAGTTCCAGGTTCCACAGAATCGACAGTGCTGCTGTGGGTGCACCTCCAGCTGCTGCTATTCCTGCGGTTTCCGCCGCCCCCACCACCATCCACCATGTAACCTGCTGCTTCGACCGAAACAGCTTGCTGAAGGTGCTGCTGCTGTGGCTGATTGCGGTGCAAATGCTGCTGGGAGTGGGTCATGTGCTGCAGACGATAATCCCTGAGTTCCTCGCCTGGCATATGCTTCCATGATGCTTTCTGCTGCTGAAAGGCAGTGGTTTCGCAGCCTGATGTGGCGCCACCACCACATGCTGACACGTCAGCACCATTGGGTGCTGCTGACGTGGCAACATCAATATTTGGTGGATCCATCCACGCCTCGCCTTGACAAGCTGGTTCATGCTTTGTAGGAGGGCGGATACCCGAACCAGCAAAAGGGGCACACGGGGCATGAAGGGCGTTCCCCCAAGAAGGAATGCTATGCTCAGGGAGAGGAATGACATCAGCTTCAGCAGTGGTACCACCAACGCCATCCGTCACACCAGCCGTAACATCAGTGACAGCAGTGGTGACGTCAGTGATGCCAGTGGTGACGTCAGTGATGCCAGTGATGACGTCAGCTATGCCAGTGGTGACGTCAGTGATGTCAGTGATGCCAGTGGTGATGTCAGTGGTGCCAGTGGTGACGTCAGTGGTAGAAGCAAGTACAGCAGGAGCACATGCTGTCCATTGGCCTTCAAGGTTCTCAGTGCACAGAAGAGACGACTGCTGCTGCTGCTGCTGGCGCTGTTGCTGTTGGTGCTGCTGTTGTCGTTGCCACTGCTCCCGTGGTTGCTGCTGCTGCTGCTCTTGCTGCTGCTGCTGCTGCTGCTGCTGCCGCTGCTGCTGCTGCCGCTGCCGCTTCTGTTGCCATTGCCACTGCACCTGATGCTGATGCTTCTGCTTTTGCCAATGCCACTGCTCTTGCTGCAGTTGTTGCGGCTGCTGCTGGTACTCCTGTTGGACCTGCACCTGAGGATGCTGGCGTTTCTCCTGCTCCTGCAACCGACACTGACGTTTCTGGCTCTGCTGCTCTGGCTGCTGAGAGTGCTGCTGCTCTGGCTGCTGAGAGTGCTGCTGCTCTGGCTGCTGAGAGTGCTGCTGCATCGGTTGCTGCAAGCTCTGCTGCCCTTCTAGTCGAGGCAAGGGGAGCCCCCATATGTCCTGAACCGCAACAGCACCTTGCATCTGCGTCAGCTGCGGCGCCTCGTGCTGCTCCAAAGCAGGCAGGGTGGGGAACGTGCTTGTGGCGGCAGACGCGGGAGGCGCCTCAAAGCTTGGCAGTTGCATCCCGTGCATTGGACCGTGGTGAGAGCCCTTCTGCACGTTCGGACCCTGCTGCATGTGAGCGACCGCGCTTGGGTTCTGCCACTGCCACGTGTCGAACCTAAGCTGCTGCAATTGCACTCCCCTGTGCTGATCCAAAGCACTGCCGGGTTCGACCGGGTGGAGGCCAAGAGGCATTTGAGACTGCTCAAGAACCACCTCAATCTCATCCTGCATCTTCTGAGTCGACCCAAAGGCGGGCTGTAATCTCTCCTGCATCTTCTGAGTCGACCCAAAGGCGGGCTGTAATCTCTCCTGCATCTTCTGAGTCGACCCAAAGGCGGGCTGTAATCTCTCCTGCATCTTCTGAGTCGACCCAAAGGCGGGCTGTAATCTCTCCTGCATCTTCTGAGTTGACCCAAAGGCGGGCTGTAATCTCTCCTGCATCTTCTGAGTCGACCCAAAGGCGGGCTGTAATCTCTCCTGCATCTTCTGAGTCGACCCAAAGGCGGGCTGTAATCTCTCCTGCATCTTCTGAGTCGACCCAAAGGCGGGCTGTAATCTCTCCTGCATCTGCCCCGTCTGCCTCGGCTGCAGTCTCGGCTGCCCCTGAGCAAGCTCGTTTGAGAATGCTATTCCCCCATCAGCTGGAAATGGCACTGGAATAGCTTGTGCTTCTGGGACGTGGTTGCCACCAGCAGGAGCAGCAGCAGAAGCAGCAGGAGCAGCAGCAGAACCTGCTGCAGCACCAGCAGAAGCAGCACCTGATGGCTCGGGTCTGACGAAATGTGGCTTGCCTGGGAAGCAGAGAGACGTGGTGAAAGAATCTGGGATGATATCATGAGGGCATACAAGCGTTCCGGTTCGAGCATCGAGTGGGGAAGGGTTGGATAAAGCGGTCCAGTTGGTACACTGATACATATAGTGATACGGAAAACCTATTGGCATGGGAGAACAGCTTTGTTGAGAAGCGAACCATCCGAAGACACTAGAGCGCATGTGTAGTACGTGGATCATCATGGGACCGTAATCTGACCACGACGACTTGAAATGCACCAACTTGAATCTGGGTTGCAAATGTCACTCATGAAAGGTCCTAACCGCCGTCCAATACAGGGCCTATGGTTTCAAATTTGGGCATGCGTGCTCGATACACTGTACATAGTAAGCAGTCCCTCCCAAGCGCGAACATTTCCGCGCGCGGGGAGGGGACTAATGATACCGTAGTCGATCTAAGCACTGTTTGGAACGCTTCTGACCTAATCTAGGCGGGAAGGGTTTAGGCGCGCTGAACTGCACGGCGTTCTCTAAAAAAAAGCCGGTCACTGGCGGAGAACTCGGAAGAACGTCAACGCTCGCGACGCGACTATACGTACACATACACGGCAGCATCGTGCCCCGGCATGTGCCCCGACATCAGGTGCCACAACGGTGGCCACTTCGGCGGAACCATGGCCCGCTGGCAGGGTGGCTCAGCTCACTTGGAGGGGAACAGCATTGCTGGGTAATGAACCACATAGTGGTCGGCATGATGGATGTCATGACAGCACAGACAGCCTTTTTTGTCGTGGCTGGCTGATCCACCTCACTCTGGTCCTAATACAGTAATAAATGGCGCAGATGAAAGTGCGCATGACGGTGTTTTTCAAAATGGTGAGAGACATGCAATCAAAACGTGGAGATGGAGACTTCCGTGGGTGCGAAGTGCTGGAGATTCACTGAAACAACAGCTGTAAGGGAGAAGAGCGTTGTTCACCACAAATACTAGGTTTCCAGCCAGGGAGCAACCAACCGAGCGGTTCACCTCACAAAAAAGCTTCACAGCTGTCAGAATCGTGTTGCACCTTGACAAATGTCCTCTGCACACCACCTTGATTCGCTCATCCCGTGAAATTATCAGAGGAGGCTTTGGATGTGATGTAGATGGAGCTGAAAGAGGGATGGAGAGGGCCTGTTCACTTACTTGGTGACATATGCTTTTCAAGTCAGTCGTGGAACACATTTGTGGAGGGGGTGGGTGGCCGGCGACACCGACGACATCATCGGGATTCCCCGCGCGCTTCTGGAGCGAAAAGCAATTCGCGCGCTCGCCGCCGATACCGACAACGCCGCCGACGCAGGACCTGAAGGGGAGGCAAACGACGAAGCAGCGCGACAAAAATATTATCAGAAGACGGTCGGTTACCGTGCGGACCCAGAAACATGGCACCAACGGCTAGGACATCCCTCCCACGCCACGCTCAAAAACTCGCTCAAGGCCGGAGTCTTCGACAACGAAGCGCTCCTCCTTCCTCGAAACGGTTCCCTCACCGCAGACTCACCTAACCCGCCGTGCATCGTCTGCCCAACCGCGTCGCTCAACCACCAGCCGTTCCTCGATTTGCCCCCAGGGTATGAACGCTACAAGCCGCTGGACAAGGTTTACAGCGATTTTATGGTGCTCAGCCAGGAGGGGCTCGACGGGGAGCAGTACACACTTACCTTCATCGACGCATCTACTCGCTACGTCTGGGCCGTCAACACCGACAGCAGGTCTCTGGCCTTCGAGTGCTTCATTGCGTGGATGAAGCGGGCTGAGCGACAGTCCGGTCTCAAACTCAAAACCTGGCAGACGGACGGAGCCCTGGAGTTCTTCTCAGACGAGTTCAAGGAGCTCCTCAAGCAGAAGGGGATTGAGCACCTGGTGTCCCTGCCCTACGCTCACCAACAGCAAGGAGTAGCAGAACGGACAAACAGAAGCCTCGCCACGCGGATGAGGGCTCTGATGAAGCAGTCGGCCATCCCAACAAAATTCTGGCCGTTTGCGATGAATCACGTTGTTCGGCTGCACAATTTGCTGTCCTCGCGAAGCCTCGAGAACAACAACTCTCCCTACCGGGCATGGACGGGCAGGAAAGAAGATACACGCCTACTTCGGGTGTTCGGCTGCATGGTACAGTACAGACCCCACACTGCGAGAACCGGAAAGTTTGCTGACCGGGCACGATGGGGCATCCACCTTGGAATCGAAAAGGAATGGCATGTGACTGCCGTCGCTGACAGTACGAGCATTACCTACTTTGACTGCCAGATTCCGGTTGGTACTTGGCAAAAATGAGCTTTCAGATTAAACTCCTATAATGTGGCTTAAATACAGCAAATCCCGCTGCACCGGATGGCTCGGGTCTGACGAAATGTGGCTTGCCTGGGAAGCAGAGAGACGTGGTGAAAGAATCTGGGATGATATCATGAGGGCATACAAGCGTTCCGGTTCGAGCATCGAGTGGGGAAGGGTTGGATAAAGCGGTCCAGTTGGTACACTGATACATATAGTGATACGGAAAACCTATTGGCATGGGAGAACAGCTTTGTTGAGAAGCGAACCATCCGAAGACACTAGAGCGCATGTGTAGTACGTGGATCATCATGGGACCGTAATCTGACCACGACGACTTGAAATGCACCAACTTGAATCTGGGTTGCAAATGTCACTCATGAAAGGTCCTAACCGCCGTCCAATACAGGGCCTATGGTTTCAAATTTGGGCATGCGTGCTCGATACACTGTACATAGTAAGCAGTCCCTCCCAAGCGCGAACATTTCCGCGCGCGGGGAGGGGACTAATGATACCGTAGTCGATCTAAGCACTGTTTGGAACGCTTCTGACCTAATCTAGGCGGGAAGGGTTTAGGCGCGCTGAACTGCACGGCGTTCTCTAAAAAAAAGCCGGTCACTGGCGGAGAACTCGGAAGAACGTCAACGCTCGCGACGCGACTATACGTACACATACACGGCAGCATCGTGCCCCGGCATGTGCCCCGACATCAGGTGCCACAACGGTGGCCACTTCGGCGGAACCATGGCCCGCTGGCAGGGTGGCTCAGCTCACTTGGAGGGGAACAGCATTGCTGGGTAATGAACCACATAGTGGTCGGCATGATGGATGTCATGACAGCACAGACAGCCTTTTTTGTCGTGGCTGGCTGATCCACCTCACTCTGGTCCTAATACAGTAATAAATGGCGCAGATGAAAGTGCGCATGACGGTGTTTTTCAAAATGGTGAGAGACATGCAATCAAAACGTGGAGATGGAGACTTCCGTGGGTGCGAAGTGCTGGAGATTCACTGAAACAACAGCTGTAAGGGAGAAGAGCGTTGTTCACCACAAGTACTAGGTTTCCAGCCAGGGAGCAACCAACCGAGCGGTTCACCTCACAAAAAAGCTTCACAGCTGTCAGAATCGTGTTGCACCTTGACAAATGTCCTCTGCACACCACTTTGATTCGCTCATCCCGTGAAATTATCAGAGGAGGCTTTGGATGTGATGTAGATGGAGCTGAAAGAGGGATGGAGAGGGCCTGTTCACTTACTTGGTGACATATGCTTTTCAAGTCAGTCGTGGAACACATTTGTGGAGGGGGTGGGTGGGGGTGGAGGGGGGTGGGACTTTTTCATCGGAGTTACAGTGAGTTCTGGAAACTTGACATGGAAGGAGTTCGTTGTGCCTCAGAACCGGGGAGGGATTCAGGATACTAGAATAAGGATAATTGTGGGGTGGGAAAACCTTGTCAAACCCTGGTAAATCAATTGGTGGGTATGCATCAGTCCTAGTCAGTCCAATTGGTGGGCGGAGTTGGCTGTACAACACCCATGTCAGGAAATCGTGGAGAGAATGACTCCAGTGGCCAATAAGGTGATTCACCATCCCTCGCATGGCCACGAATTACTCGAGTGGCCACCAAATTTGGTGATAATGACTCGAGTGGCCACGCCAGGGGATTCTTCCTGGCTTTTTTTTCTTTGGCGCATTACCCTACGGGGCTTTGTAGCCCTGAAATTCCGCATTCGTGCGAGGATTATCCCGCATAAGTGTACATAACCATTGACCACCCGAAATTTTCGCCAGGGTGGCGGGCTCGAACGTGGCCCGCCCACTGTACAAGAAACCGACAAATATTCCGAACAATAGTGTTTGCGCGACCAATTTCGAGCTAATGCGCGACGAAATTCCAAACCAATCAGAGATCGAGCATAGTGCACCGCGATCATACAGTATACTTCTATTGACCCGAAACGATCCGTCACAGCAATAACGACCGCGCATGAGTGGTCAAGATTTATGCGCGGTGCTATTGTGGCCATTGCGCGTCCAATCAAGCACAATCATTAAGGTTTGGCGATCATATTTGAACGCGTTCATTTATACACAATTTCCTATATGATCCCGCCAATCATATACTATAAACACTCGCACAAGAGTTAAACTCTGGCCAATTAGGTTCGTATTAAGGCGCTCAATCTGGTTTGGTACGCCCTTTCCATCTTCCCGCGCTTTACCATTTGACCCATATGCTAGAGATCGCTCACACCATTTCTTCTCGTCGTTTTAGGGTTGACATCTACCTTAGCCTTTGATTAGACCAGT